CCTCCTCCTCCTCCTCCTCCTCCTCCTCCTCCTCCTCCTCCTCCTCCTCCCTCCCACTCCCGCAGCCCGCTCCCTCCTCCCCCCCTCCCCTCGGAACCCGAGTCGGCCCCACAGTCTGGGCGCAAACGGATATGTGGAACCGCCCCTGGCGGCTCTGGAGCGCTACACGGGGTGTCACCTGCTTCCGTCGTGGGGCTGCCCCTCGGTGACGGCGCAGCGCCTGCGCCAGCGCGGCACCGGCGGCGCGGGCGCCGCTCGGGGCTTGATGCGCCCAGGCCCACAAAGCAAAACAATGTTTTTTGGGGGGAAACGACGGCGACGAACACTCGAAGAGCACTCGAAAGTGAAGCTCCGCCCCAGAGTCAATCCACTCAGGCTCGAAGGAGGCGAAAGAAAAATCAATCCGCGCATATGAGCCCAAGCTCCGTGCACGACCACGCAAACTCAAAGCCAGATAACGTTTCCATGCCAGATAATATTTCCATGCCAAGTAAAACAATGCTTGCCACAGCGTTCCGAGTGCATTCCTTGCGTGCCCGCTCACCGATGGCGCGTCCCACCCAGGCCTCCGTTAGGGGCAACGATGGAGGGGCACTGGCAAAGGGGGGGGGAACATCGACTTGGAATCGGCGACACATCGCCGATAGATCGGCGATAGGATTCTGATAGTGAATCCGCACCTTCCTGGGCAGGTAGGGGCTATCGGCTATCGGGCCCCTATCGGCGATGAATGGGCGATCGGGGGTCGACGCATCCCCCCCTATGCCCATCCCCCCTTATCGTTGCCCCCGACTCCGGCGTTCCGAGAAACGCAATGCGGAAGCTGTTCGGAGTTTTCTGCCTCTCGGGGCCTTCGCCGCCGTTCCGCCCCCAAAGGCTGTCAAGAAACGACTCCAGATGAGGAACCGGCCCTGGGGGCAAAATTCAGACCTCCGGGGACCTCGCATTGAGAGGCTCAAGACATCGGATGCCTGGATTGGTCAACACAAGGCTGCGTCACAGGCTGCTCCAGGAACATGCCGCGCCTGCAACTCGAGGATGGTGCGGACCAGGTGCGTCCCGTGAGCGCCAACACGAGGACAGTACGTCGCGGGTTCAGACAGCGTGGCAGAGGTAGCGGGTTAGGTGTATTGCAGCATCGCCGGGTGCACTGCAGTACTGGTCTTCTCCTCCTCCTCCTCCTCCTCCTCCTCCTCCTCCTCCTGCCCCCATCCTCCTTCCAGTTCTTTTGTGAATAAGTCCTCCTGTCGCAACCCGAAGCCACTCGGAAGCGCGGGCAAGGCGTTTCGCCTGAGACTTCCTGTCAACTAGTGATCCCGAAGCTTAAAAATCGACAACAGCTTCACAGATGAAGGGCTGATCGATTCCAAAATGAAACTCTCGCCTTAGCGCCACGTATTCGTATGAGACAATTGTAAATGCTTCACGGATTGAGGGCGGCTCCTATGCAAAATGTGGCTATCGCCGTAGCGCCGCACAAATCCGTCTCAAAATTTAGCCAGACCTTCATGGATTAGGGCCGGGTCGTTTTCGAAAGTTGGCTCTCGCCGTGGTGCCGCGCACACCCGTTCGCAAAAATGTAAAAGCTTAATGGATTGAGGGAGGTTTTATTTCAACATGTGGCTCTCGCCTTCGCCCCGCGCATTATGTTATTCACGATCGTAAAAACTTTACGGATTGAGGGCGGCTCCTTTTCAAAATGCGGCTCTCGCGTTGGCATCGCGCACCTTCGTCTTAAACATGTACAAAGAGTTCCACTGGTTTCCATGGCGAACGTACCAGAAACAGCGTTCTGGAACGACTTAGGATTGCAAGAGCACAACATTTATGTTGATTCGCGATTTTGAAATCCCAGGGATGGTGTTCTGGCACTATTCATGATCGTCGAGACGCAACAGTCAAGTTGGCTCGTGGGGTTAGTCCAAAGAACGATGTTTTGGCACGCCTCAGGATCTTCAAAGTTGTCTCCCAACGGGGCAACTCCCTCAGTGGACATGCACCCTCGTAGGGAAATGTGAAAGGAGCTTGGAGAGAAGGTTTATTCCAACATTGTTGGTGAGTCTTGGGTTACCACTGGTCCTCCTCCTGCTCCTCCTCCTCCTCCTCCTCCTCCTCCTCCTCCTCCTCCTCCTCCTCATCCTCCTCCCCCTCCTCCTCCTCCTCCTCCTCCTCCTCCTCCTCCTCCTCCTCCTCCTACTACTACTACTACTACTCCTCCTCCCCCCTCCCCCATCTCTTTCCCATAAAAATAACTCCTCCCTGTCGCACCCCCACACGTGTCGGCCGGGCGGACCGGGCGTTTCGCCTTAGACGTCCTCTCCATGGATGCTCCTGACAATTGAAATATGCAACAGCTTCCCGGATGGAGGGCGTGCCGTTTTCGAAATGTGTTTCCCGCCTGAGCACCGTACACATGTGTTTTCACATTTTACAAGAGTTACACGGATGGAGGGCGAGCCCGTTGACAACACGTGGCTCTCGCCATCGCGCCGCGTACATTCGTCGTCAAACTTTGCAGCAGCTTCACGGATGGAGGGCAGGCCGTTTCAAAATGGAGCTCTCATCCTAGCGTACCGTACACTCGTCTTGTGCAACAGCTTCAAGGATAGAGGGCGGCTCCTTGTCAAAATATGGACCTAGCTCTAAAACCGCGCACATTCGTCGTAAAAATCTACAGTCACTTCAAATATTATTATGGTTGACGTCTCAAAAACGGTGCTCCGGCACGTTTTAGGATTGCCACGGCAGAACGGTCACGTTGATTCGCGGTGTTGAAGTCTTGAGATTTGCTCTCCGGAACAATTCAAGATTGCCCGGACGTAACTGTCACGTTTACTCGCGGGGCTGAAGCCCCAGGAATTGCGTTATGGCGCGATTGAAGATTCTACGACGGTTTTCTTCCAAAGGAGCACTTCCCGCAGTGAGGACAAATCCTTGTAGGGACGTATGACGAGGAAACTTGGAGGGAGGTAATTTTGCGACATCGTTGACGGGTCTTGGGTCTGCACTGGTAATTTTGCTTTTCCATTTCCTCCTCCTCCTCCTCCTCCTCGTCCTCCTCCTCCTCCACCTCCTCCTCCTCCCCCTCCTCCTCAATCCCCCCCACCCCATTCAACCTCCCCCACCCAATCCCCACCTTGCTCTCCAGCTCCTCGTGCGGGCAGCGGGCGGGCGGCTGCAGCAGAGGCCTGCGCCCGCGCCGCAAGAGGAGGCCAGGCACCTCCACCACCCGAGGAGGCCGAGCGGCGCGCAGTCGGCGGGCGCCTCCGACGGGCGGCCGCCCGCGGAACGGGCGGGCGCTCCAGCGGGGCAGCAGCCCGCGCCCTGCAAAGCGGGCCCTGGACAAGGCGGAGGCGGCCGAGCCGAGCAGCCCCCGCCGTCATTGGAGGCCCGCGCCTCCCGGCAGTGAGGCGAGGGGCTGACATGAAACACCATCTCGTTTTGTATGACAACCGGTAGTCCGAAAAAATAGTGTGACGTTTCGCTTCATACGACTACCACTCGTTACGGTTCCCCCAACAGCGCTTGCACGACGAGGTTCTCACTTCTATTCTAAGGCATTGGGCTGGCTTGTTGGCGTGGCAGCTATGTAGCCACCGTCGCCGCCCCGTTGCCGCCTCGTCGCCGCGAGTCGTCTCGGCATGTGCGTCGGTCTGGACGCTATGTTGCCGCCGTCGCCGTCCCGCCGCCGCGAGTTGTCAGGTCATGTGTGTCGGCCTGGCGGCTGTGTAGCCACAGTCGCCGCCCCATCGCCGCCTCGTCGCCGCCCGTCGTCAGGGCCTGGGCGTCGGTCTGACGGTTCCGTGTCCGCCGTCGCCGCCCCGTCGCCACACGTCGTCTGGGTTTGGGTGTCGGTCTGGCGTTTCCGTGGTCGCCGTCGCCGCCCCCTCGCCGTCCGGTTTGTAAAACATACACTGCAAAACATTGCTTGCACCGCATATGTTGCACCGCTTAAATCGCACACGTAAGATTGCACACATACGTTGCACAACATAGACTGCACCACATTGGTTGCACTACACATTTTGCACCACATTGCTTGCGCACCGCATAGACTGCACCACGTAGGATGCACATCATAGAATGCACCCCACGCACTGTCCGTTCAAACTAAAAGTTTGGGATCTACCACCACCACCACCTGTTTTTCGCCCATCCCCCCTGGGATACGCACGATGTTGCCTGATCGTTAATTTTACATATTAGTTCGTACCATCCCAGGGAGAGCCCATATCGTCCCTCCGTCCCCCATCCCTCATAATATATACTGTGCGCGCCCACTCGCTTATCAAAAACCAGCTGTTTTATGATTTTGCTATATGCACAGAATGAATGTAACACAATTCACACGCGCGCGTCGTCGCGCGCATATGCTAGATTCCAGAAAGAAAAAACCTCCGGTTCGGTGAGGAGTTCAAGAACGATGTTCCCGAAAACACATGAAACGAATCATGGTTTTGCAACATGATGCATCAACAAAACCTGCCCGCGCTCTTAGAAGTTTTTACGAGCACCGTTGGTGCTTCAACGCATTTATCAAATTCGATCAAACGGGCCTCCCGCGCACGCATGTCGAAATCATTCGAACGCCCTAGCGCGTTTGCGGGGAAGTGGTTGGGAGCGACCCCTGTCAAATGATACCATGTGGGCTACTCGCAACCGTCAGCCGCGCGAGCGTGTCGAAACCTTCCCAACAAAAAACTTCATCACCGACACGTAGACACCATCATCGTCACCGGCGTGATCAGCATCGGTGCCGTCATTGGCCTCGCCGTCGTCGTCGTCATCATCACCAGCATCGCTACTATCTCATTGTGTCTGCCGTTGTCGACTTCGCCATGATACCGCGCCCGCCCGAGGCACCGACTCGCAGTGAAGTGCCCGCGCATCTGCGCGGCCTACGAAACGCGTTGGGGAGTCCCCAGCGGTCAGCGCCACCGCAGCGGCGTCGGTCGCGCCAGCCTAGCTGATTTCTGTGCGCGCGAGCCTACGCGAGCAAGCGCGGCCGCAGCGACGCGCCACCAGCGCCAAGCAGTCAGGGCAATCGCCGCCGCATGGGTTTTGCGAACCAGTTTGCGTGCGAATGGGTGGGATGATTGCGCAAACAGTGGAGTTGACAACTCACTGCAAACAAAAATCAATGGTCCTTTCTACAAGAGTATAAAGATTTACCCCCCTCCCCCCCCCCCCGGACTTAACGGGTCACCTTTTTCGTATTGCAATTTACATACGGTTTTGCCCATTCGCCCATCCTAAATATGAATCCATACCCTTCCAGGTGAACCAGTATCGCCCCCCCCTCACGCCTGTCAAGTAATATTATGCGCGCGAACTCGCTTATCTCCAAAAATCGGTTTTCAAGAACTGTCTGCAAACAATGAAACCGAAGCGAACGTGCGCGTCGTCGCGCACGCATGCCGAAATCGGTCAAAAGCCTTAGGTGCCGTAAAGATTTCAAAATCTAGTGTCCCGGAAACATATGACAACGAATGGTTTCGCAACAAGGACTTTCAAAAAAAACTTGTGCTCCCGCGCCCTTTCGAGTCTTTGAGAAAACCATTGGTCTTTCAACATATTCCTAAGATGCTACCAAACGGGCTCCGGGCGTGCGCATGTCGAATCATTCGAACGCCCTTGCGCGCGTGCTACCGCAAGAAACCCCTGCAACAAATCCACCGACCCTGTCGGCGTGCGTGAGGGGCTTGTCTGTTCGAGTCGTCGTCTCCGTCATTCGTTAGTCGTCGCCTCTGTCGTCCCCTTTCCCTGCGCCCCCCCCCTTTTTCCTGGGCCCGTCGCCGCCCTCCCCCCCTTTCCCTGGGCCCTTCTCCTCAAGCGCTGGGCCCGTCGCCGCTCCCCCCCCTTCCCTAGGAATTCCTTCTCAACCGCGCCAGCCAAAGCGAAATTGAGCAACGTCGCAATTGATTCGGAGGGGAGCCCCTCCCCTTGGATCCCTCCCCCGCCATGAAACGGGGGGGGGGTCCCTGGGGGGGGTCCCTGGGGGGTGTCCCGGGGGCGGCGTCCCCGGAGGGGTCTTGGGCCAGATGCGACTCAACCCCGGGAGGGTCAGGGGCCCCAAAAGCCGAAGACATGCCAAGAGTGCCCCAAGAGGCCCCCAACACGGTCCGAGGGCCCCGAATCGCCGAACGATCTGTCCGAGACGCCTTGTTGGCCTCCAGACGGCCCAAGAGCCCGGAAAGACGCCCCAAGAAGCCTCCAGGAGCACTGCCAAGAGGGCCCCAAGAGGGAAAATCACAGATTTCCCATTGGTTTTTGTTTAAGCATTTTGGCATTCTCGCCTCTCCCGCTTCCCGGCGCTCCAAGACGGCCGAAAAGGCCCCCCAGATCGCCCCAAGACGGCCCAAGAGGGCTCCAGGAAGAGGGCCCAGACGGCCCAAGACGATTCCAAAACGGCCCAAGAGGCCCCCAAGACGGCTCCAAGAGGGCGCCCAGACAGGGGACAAAAAACGTTTCGAGCCCTCGGCCCCGAGAGGCTCCCAGGAGGAAAGAAGCCCCCAAGAGGCCCCCAAGACGCCCCAAGAGGCCCCCAAGAGGCCCCCAGGAAGCCCCGAGAGGCCCCCAAGAGGCCACAAAGAAGCCTCAAAGAGGCTCCAAAAAGGCCCCTGAACTGTCCCCCGGAGGCCCCCGAGAGCGCTTCGAAGAGGCCCCACGAAGCATCCATGAGGACTCTCATCCACGTCAGCGTCGTTATCGTCGCCGCCGCCGCCGCCGCCGCCGCTGTTGTCGTTGAATTTCAGGGTCGGCGGCACCGGCCGCAACGCCTTCGCAGTGGAACAATATGCACGCGCGCGCGTCGTCGCCAGCGCATGCCCGAATCATCCAAAAACTTTGGGTGTCGTAAAGAGTTCAAAACCGAGTATCCTGAAACCATATAAAAACATTCGTTTTGTAACATGAATTTGCGTTTGTGCTAATTCTTCGGGACACCATACGTTTTGCAATATTGTCACTGCGTTATGCCAAGAGGGCTTTCGCGCCGCAAATCGAAATCATTCGAACGCCTTTGCGCGCGTGCTGGGAGCGGGGCGATCCGTGTCAAATAACTCCATGCGGGCGACTCTCTCTCGCGCGTCGGCAGCGCGCGCATGTCGAACTCCTTCCAAGACTTTCACCACCGATGCGAGGACGCCGTCATGGTCGTCGGCGTGATCGGCATCTGCACCGTCACTGGCCGTGTCGTCGTCGTTGTCATCATCGCCATCAGCATCGCTACTATAATCAGCGCGTCTACCGTTGTCGACGTTGCCATGGTGCCGCGCCCGCCCAACTCGCCTACTCGCACTGCAGTGCCCGCTGGGATGTGCCCAGCGGTCAGCGCCACCGCGGCCGCGTCAGTCGCGCCAAACTAGCTGGCAGTTGCGCGCGTGAGCATGCGCGCTATCGCGGCCGCGGCGATGCGCCAGCCAACGCCGAGCAGTTATCGCAATCGCCGCTGCATGAGTTTTGCAAACCAAGTTGCGGGTGGGTGTGTGGGATGATTGCGCGGATGATTGCGCGAATACTGGACTTGACAACTTCAAATTCAGCAGGGCGAATTGCACCACACGAGGCGCACCACATAGGTTGCTCCACAGATAGCGGTCAACGAATGTTGCACAACATAGGATGCACAACATAGAACGCACACCGTAGATAGCATCACGTATACTTTCCCTCTTCCAAAAGATTCGAGCCCCACGGGGTCAACCGCACACCTTCTCGTATCGCAACTTACGTACGATTCTGCCCTATGGCCCGTTCGAAATTTGAACTCGTACCATGCCAGGCAAGCAAGCATCACCCCCCCCATCCTGTGCAAAAAACCAAAGCTGCACAATCGTTCGTTTGCAAAAAATGTTCAAGAATGCATTGCAGAAGGGGTGGGGGGAACAAAACAAACAAGCAAACCAAACAACAACCACACGCGCGCGTCGTCGCCCGCGCGTGCCGTCATTTTCTTCCAAAATCTCATGGTTGGCAAAGCTCTCAGAAACCAGAGCCACGAAAACATGAAACATGTTTCGCAACAAGGGTTTTCAAAAAAAAGCCTGCGCCCGTGCTCTTGCGAATTCGTAGGAGAACCATAGGTGTTCAACATATTCGAAAAATGCTATCAGACGGGCGTCTCGCGCGCGCATGTCAGAATCGCTCGAACGCCCTTGCGCGCGTGCTGTCGCAAGAAGCCCTTGCAAATAATGAAACGACGTGCACGCGCGAGCATCGTCGCGTCGAAAACAAAAAGACAAAAACAAAACTGAGTTTCGCAAGGGTTTCAAAAACGAGTGCCCCGAAACCACGCAGAAGCACATGGCTTTGCGACATCAGTTTTCCAAAAAGCCAGCGCTTGCGGTCTTGCGGGTTCTTGAGAAAACCATAGGTGTCCCAACACGTTCATCGAATTATCCCAAGAAGGGCCTCTCGCGGCGCGTGTCGAACTCATTCGGACGCCCTTGCGCGCGCGTGATTTGGGGGGGGCACGATCCGCGTCAGATAATGCCACGCGGGCCATTCGCGCGAATCGGCCGCGCGCGCATATCGAACTCAAAAAAAAAAATGCATCGCCGACGCGAGGACATCGTCATCGTTATCGGCGGGCGGGGTCAACATCGGCGCTGTCATTGGCCTTGCCGTCGTCACCATGGTCGCTTCTCTCATAATCGTGTCTACCGTAATCGGCGTCGTTGTGATACCGCGCCCGCCCAAATCACCGACTCGCACTGAAAAGCCCGCTGGGAAATGCCGAACGGTCAGCGCCACCACGGCCGGGTCGGTCGCGCCAAACTAGCTGGCCGCTGTGCGCGCGAGCATGCGCGGGCTAGCGCGGTCGCAGAGATGAACCAGCCAACGCCAAGCACTCATCGCAATCGCCGCTGCATGGGTTTTGCAAACAAAGTTGCGGGTGGATGGGTGTGATGTTTGCAAGAGCGTGGAATGTGTCAATTCGTTTATAAAGATCTATTGCGCCACATAGATTGGTCTACAGAGATTGCACCACACATATTTCTAGAGACACACTGTTTGGGACCCACGCTGGCTAGCATATATGTCTTAAGACACACACCACAACACACAAGACAACAAAACGTGTGATGTTTGATCATCGCTACGGCGGGGCGCCTTGGAGGCCAGCACGTCCTGCGTCTGCTCGCTCACGGAGGCCATGCTTCCACGAAGGCCTCGCAGCTCGCCTCCGGCGGCGGCCTCGCCTGGCGGCGCAGGCTAGGCGCCTGCTTCTGCCGCGCCGGCACCGGGAGGAGCCCCGGAAGCGGACGCCAGCGCCCCGCCAACAGAGGAAGCCAGGCCGCGGGCGGGGGTTGGCTGGGCCGCTGCACTCGCGCCAGCGTGCTCCGCGCGTCGAGTGGGCGCCGCCCCAGAAGCGGCAGGCCTCGCGCGCGGGAGCCAGGGGCGGAGGGCGAGGAGGGAGAGGGGGAAGGAGGAGGAGGAGGAGGAGGAGGAGGAGGAGGAGGAGGGCGAGGAGGGCGAGGAGGAGGACGAGGAGGAGGGGGAGGGGGAGGAGGAGGAAAAGGAGGAGGAGAAGAGGAGGGGATGCCAGGGGCCGTCAGAGGAAGCCGAGCAGCGGGCGGTGAAGGCTGGGCGTGGGCTGGGCCGCTTCGGCAGCCCCGTCGTCTGGCACGCCGCGCGCGCCAGGGCTGCCGCTTGGGTAGCTGCAGGTCACGTGCGGGGCGACCTCGTTGTCGCAGCGCCGGACGTTCTCGTCAGGGGCTGGGTACCTGAGAGGAAAATGTTTGCCAACGCTGGCTCAAAACGGTTGGGCACTGCTCTCTGGATGTGCACTCGATGTGGTGCAGTCTGCGGGGTGTTGTCTATGTTGTGTGAAGTATGCAGATCCACATGGGCGGCGCAAGCTACGCGGCGCAGGCAAACTATTCGGTGCAAGCTGTGGAGTGTAACACATGCGGCGCAGCCAATGCAATTCCATCGGGTGCAGCATTTGCGGCGCAAGCAATGTGGTGCAGTCTGTATGGAGCGAACAGTTTGCTTAAAGTTATGGTGCGCAACGTTGTGGTGCAATACATCCCATACGCTGTAGATCTATACAATACAATATATATATACATATATATATATATATATATATATCCGTGCGTGTGTGTATACACACGTGCGTGGGGATCCCATATCCGCCACCGTGCATTGGCACGTTGACGCGTGGAAGAATGCCAAGTGCTGCCTGGCAGGGATTCTTGTGTGTTGCGATATACGCTGATTTTTTCAGGCCCCCGTCCCCCCTAACCCTTTCCCCACCCTGCCTCGCTCACAGGGCGGGGTGTGGGGGGGCAGTGCGATTGTTGCAAGCATGTGGCGACGTTCTGAATATGACACTCTATAATCCTGATTATAAAGGACCCCCCACCCTCCGTCCCACGCAGAGTTGACTGCACCCCCCCTACTCCCGAGTGCCCCGGGGCGGCCATGGCGCTTCCTGAAGCCCTCCAGGAGTTCCAAGACGGCCCAGCAAGGCCATCCAGGACGGACCTGGCAGGCCACCCAGGCCGCCAAAATGGTCCAAGAGGCCTCCATGACGGGCTAGGATTGCTCAAGGTGGCCTCGAGACGGTGCAAAAGGCCTCCAAGACGGCCCAAGAGGGCTCCCATGAAGCCTCCAGCCAAGCCCGAAGATGCTAAAATCACGAGTTGCCCGTAATTTGTCAAAGGATGTTCGCATTCTCGTCGGGGATCTCCTGACCCGGGTCAATCCAGACCTGGGTCAGCAGGAAACCAAAAACTGCAATGCAGGAAAAAAAAAAAAAACTGCAACGCAGGTCTTCGCAAACCCGTGTCAGCCGATATGTGCGGCCGCCTCGCGGCCACGAGCCGCTCGCTGACCCGGGTCAGCCAGAAGGGGTCTTCGCAGGATCCTGCAGGATCTGGCGCTCGGGCTGACCCCCGCTCGCACTGACCCCCGTCTCGTAGGCCCCGATCTCGCCGTCTCGACCATTCGCCGGCTCAAGACAGCCCAAGAAGCCTCCAAGATGGCCTCAAGAAGGCCCAGGAGGGCACCAAGAAGGTCCCAAGACGGCCCAAGTGGGTGCCAAGATGGCCCCAAGACAGCCCAAGAGGACCCGTAGACGGCCCAAGAAGGCGCTCAGACGGCCCTCAAGGTCTCCAAGACGACCCGAAGTCCCCCAAGATGGACTCTGAAAGCGCCCGCACGGCCCAAGAGCGCCCTCAGAACTCCCAGGGAGCCCCCAAGAGCACTCAAGGAGCACCCAAGGCGCTGCCAAGAAGCTCCAAGAGGCCTCAATGAACCCCTCCACAGGCCCCCTGAAATTTTCAAGAGGCCCGCAAGGTCAGACGTGACGGCCTCCCGTGCCCTCTCGAATAGTCGCCACCCAACATGCTGCACTGGCACGGTAGCGTGGCTTGCCGCAGGCAGCTGGATCATACTTGCAGCTCGCATCTATGCCGACTAGGCCGAACTAGAAGGATTTTGAATACCACGCCGAGCCGAAGCTCGCACCTACGATTACTACATCCGGACGATGCCGAACCCTCAAGGGGCCGCGAGCGCATTGCAGGTGCGGTCAAGACCTGCTCCATCAACTGGGCACACGTGTTCCTCTCCCCAGAACCCCTGTTGACCTGTCCTCACCACTTGGGGAGGGTGCACCGCTGGATCTCCCCAGGAGGGGGGGGGGGGGACCCTTCCCCCCCCCTTTCCCCGACCCGTCGTCGGGGACCCCCCCCCTCCCCCCCCTTTCCCGGTCCGTCGTCGGGGACCCCCCCCCTCCCCCCCCCCCCCTTTCCCGGTCCGTCGTCGGGGACCCCCCCCCTTTCAAAAGGGGGGGGGGTCCCCCCCCCCCCCCCTCCTTTGGCCGCCAAATTCGACCCCCCCCCCTCCCCCCTTTCGCCGAGGCGCCCCCTGGCTCCGGAACCCGACCCCTACCACCCCTAACACTACCACCCCGTCCACCCGTAACCCTAACCCCAAACCCTAACCCTAGCTCCAAACAGTACTCAGCACTCACTGTTCATTACTCACTACCCACTACTCACTACTCGCTACTCACTATTCACTTCTGTCTACTCACTGCTTACTACTCACGACTCACTACTCACTACCCACTACTTACCATCCACTACCCACTACTCACTACTAACTAGTCACTACTCCCAAGTCACTACTCACTACTCCCTATTCACTACCCATTACTCAATACTCACTACTCACGAAACACTACTCATACTCATGAAGCACCACTCACTACCCACTGACCACTGTCCACTACTCACTACTGAATACTCACAAATTACTACTCCCTACTCACTGCCCACAACGCACTACTCACGATCCGCTGCTCGCTAGTCGCTACTCCCTACTCCATACACAGTACTCACTGCTCACTACCCACTACTCACTACTCGATACTCCCTACTCCCTACTCGCTACCCGATACGCAATACTCACTACCCACTACGCATTACTCACTACTCACTACTCACTACTCCCTATGACCCTACTCACTAGTCACTAGTCAAGTCACTACTGACTACTCACTACTCAGTATTCAACATTCACTACTCACGACTCACTACTCTCTATTCGCTACTCCTTACGCACGACCCACGACTCACTATCGACTTCTCATTTCTTACTACTCGTTACTCACTACATCCTACTCACTACTCACTTCTCCCTACTCACTACTCACTACTCACTACTCACTACTCGCTACCCCCTACACGCTACTCACTACTCCCTTCTCACTACGCACTACAGACTACTCCCTCCTCACTACTCACTGCTCAAAACGCCCTACTCGCTAGTAACTATTCACTACTCGCCAATCCCTACTCGCTACTCACTACTCACTACACATTCCCCATTGTCCACTACTCACTACTCACCACTCACTACTCACTGCGCACTACTCACTACTCACTACTCACTACTCACTACTCACCCCTCACTACTCGCTACTATCTACTCACTACTCACTACTCACTACTCACTGCTTTCTACTCACTACTCACTACTCTCTACCCCGAGGCCAGACCCGCCCCCCTTGCGGGAGAGGCCCCCTCCCCGGCCCCCTGTTTGGCGCAAAAAGGGAGAGGGGGGGGGGGGGGACCGAGCCCCCCCCCCTCCCCCTTTCCAGCGCCAAAGGGGGAGAGGGTGGGGGTCCGGACCCCCCCCCTTCAAGAGGGGGGAGGCGGGGGTTTGGACCCCCCCTCAATGGGGGGTGGGGGGGGGGGGTCGAAAATCTCACCCCCCCCTTGAAGGGGGGAAGGGGGGGGGCTCTGCGAGCACACCTCCCCTTTTCAATTACAGGGTGATCCAGCGGCGCGCTTTCCCGCTTGGGCTAGGTGCGCGCCGCAGTCATGATCGCGACGCGTTGCGCGGGCGTTTCAGACGGGGCATCAGCGACGGAGTCAGCAATCAAGAGCGACTGAAGCAGCGATTGCCGAAGTCCGAAAGCAAAGGCTGAAGGCGCCGAGTGGTCCACAAAGGGCTCGTTTCGGCGACTTGGCGCCCGAAAGAGGGAGCCGGCCAGAGTTATAGAAGTGCCCCTCCCCCTCTGAAGTAGAAGCGGCCGATATCAAGGTGCAGAAAATGTGGAGTAGTCAACCAACCCCAACAGCGGCCTGCCAACTCCAATGGTCGCGCAAACATCCCATCCACCCACCCGCAACTTGTTTGGCATAGCCCATTCAGCCACGACTGCGGCTACTGGTTGGCACTTCCTTGCGCGCGCAGAGCGACCAGCTGGCTCGGCACAACTGGTGCGGCCGCGATGGCGCTTTCCGCTGGGAGCTTCCCAGCGCGTCCCAAAGGCCGCGCTGGCGCGCGGGCACTTCAGTGCGGATCGCTGACTCGGGCGGAGGCGACACAATGATGACGTCGACTCCGGCGGCCACGATCATGAGAATGGCGATAATCATGGCGCTGATAACGATGACGTCGGCAGGGCCAATGACGGCGCGGATGACAATGATAATGATGTCCATATGCCGGTGATGAAGGTGATTGTGCTGATGATGGCTTCAAAGGTGGCGATTGACGATGACGATAATGGCGGTGATGCGATGGCGCTGATGAGGGTGATGTCGAAGTGCGCGTGCGCAAATTTAAGAAATCCCCCGACCAATTGTTGGAAGCCACTTGTTTGTTTTTCATCTCTGTTTGAAGAGCTCTATATTGAAACGCTTTGAAACCCCAAATCGTTCAGGGATTTCATGCGCGCGTGGCGGCGCGCGGATGCGCCCCGCGGCGCATGCGAGATAAACGCGAATTCACCGCGTGGTGACATGAGAATGCAGGTCCTATACGTGATTGCAAAAATCGTGCGGCCTTCCTGTGATTTCAGCAAGTGCGCGCAGGAGCGCGCGAGCTGAACATGCGCCAGATGTTTGATTAAGTACCTCTGAAGACTTGATGCTGGATGTGGAAACTTATGCAGAAAAATATGTTTGGTGTGATTTCGACATGTGCGCGCGTGTGTGGCCTTTGTGGTATGATTTGCAAGGAACTCGTGGACGGCTATCCTTGAGATGAACGGGTGCGCGCGCACAGTTGCATTTGGCATGGACGAGGCGGGGTACTGGCTCTCCTGGGATGGTAAGGTGTTCAAATGGAAAATGAGCGATGAGGCAGAATATCACGTGAAAATTGCAATGCCCACGGGGGTACGGTTAAGTCTGGTACCCTTGCAGCATCCCCTTTCGGCCGCGCCCCGTTCGAGAGGTGTCAGCATGGACTTCCAAGGCCC